TATCGCCCACCCCTAGATTCCATAGTTGTGTCTCCCATCACCCAAAACCCCTGACTATTCTCTCAACTCAGTATTTACATTCTTATTCAAAGAAAATCAGTAATATCTTTAAAAACTACAAATCCCTGTCTATCAGCTGTACACCGTTATGGTGTAAATACAGCCTATCTACCAATTGGATCAAATATAAAAGTCAGCCAAATTACTATTGATACTGCAAGGAGACGTATTGTGTGAAGAGAAATTGAAGATGTTGTTTAATTGCTGATATATTTATGATGCACGTCACATATTCAGTTCCGGCTGCATTTCTTCCAGTTTGTCCAAAGGTCTTCTCAGCAGGGCTCTATAAATAGAGAACTACGGCAGATGTGTAATATTTAATGCAGCCGAACTGTGTATTATAATGCAGTTATGTGAGAAAAGCAAGCACACGCAGAATAAAGTATTATTTTCTTTTTTTAAATGTTTTCGGATTTCACATCGCATAAACACCATATCTCAATGTGCATTGCGGCTAAAACATCCAATCCCTGAGCTTCAACGTTAGCTGAGGATTATGGGTAGTTCGATGTTTTAGCCTATCAAAACCTCTGAAAAAAGAAATGTGTCTCTCAGAATTGAAAGGGAAAAATCTATGGGAAAAACACAAAAGCAGTGTACACTATTTAAACGTGGATGAGTAGTGCAGATATCACTTTAAAATCATTTGACAGTGAGGGGAATACGGTTTTATTATGAAAACTTTGAGACCGGAAATACTGTTTTCACCCCGTGAGGGTTACGCTAACTTTACATGGACGCTGCCGCATAATATACACGTTCTCCTGGCGAGACCTTAAATCATCTTCGTAATATCTATCAAACTATAGATCCTCCACTGGACGTGAATTCCAAAAGTACAATATACACTTCTCGCTAGAAATCTAATCAAAAAGCATTTTAATGGCCGAACTATCCCACGATTTAGGATTTTCCAGAGAGGGTTATTTGTGAATATACGACCCTCCAGAGCGTTTGCAATCAACGGGAGCACTAGAGGTCGAAAACTTTAAAATGTGATTATGGGTCGTAATAAGCGCTTGAACAATCGACCTATTTAGTCGTATGAGTTGGAGGACTTGTTGGTTGCATCCCTAGCCAAATGAAGCATGAGTGTTACATGGTGATGTCACTATGTTAAAGAAGCAAACAAAGGAGTCCAATGGAGGCGTTTCAGAGACGGGGGGGCTTCTTAAAGTTGCAAACTATTTTCAGGGGAGCATGATATCTGTGCTATTGATGCAACTACTACCCACCCAATGTTCGGCAAGAGATGTTTCACACAGGTGCCCGACAGACAGAACCTGTCACCTCTTATGGCATGTGTTGTTTTCTTTTTTCTCATCCCTGTAATAAACACCTTTTCTCTCAAAAAGCCTGCCGCCCTCGGCTGGATGCCTCCGCAAGGGAAGCGTGTGGCGCAGTGGACTAGTGCTTTGGTGTTGGGATCAGTGGAGCACTGGTTCAAACCCCACTGCAGTCAGCATGTCGTTGTGTCCCTGGGCAAGACACTTCACCCCAAATTGCTCCTGTGGGGATTGTCCACAGTATGTAAGTCGCTTTGGATAAAAGCGTCTAACAAGTAACATGTAATGTAATGTAATTAATCAATCATAAGGACTCAGGAGGAGACAAAATAACTATCATTCGGTTTCAATTTTGTCTGATTACGCCCGCCACGGGAAGTGAGTAGGTGTCGCTTAATTTTCGGTCTGGGCAACATCTTACTCCAAGTCACAAAAACATCTCATTAAGTTTTCCGTCAGTCTCTGTTCTGTAATTTTGGTGTTTGGATGCAATCCTTCACACTTTAGCCTTGTGGTGCTGTGAACAATGAATTTCCTTCTCAGTGCGATGACACCATTGCCCCGTCGCTTTCTTTTAGGCGAGCAGCCTGCTCACTTCCTCCCCGCTCATGTGGCTTCCTGGCAGGCAGCCAGACCCCCCCTCTATCATGGTCTATAAAGACTTGTGCTGCCGGTCCCGTGTGAGACAGGAAGCAGGGCCCTATGGACAGTGACCTCACTGCAGGAAGAGAGCGCAGGGTGTGTGTGCAGAATTGTAGTTCTCCATTCTCTCCAGATAGCACCAGTCACACGAAGTAACCAAACCAAAATATTTTCAGAGCAATTTTTAATGTGTACATGTCCAGCATGGCTTGTTAACACACTCAACTAGAGGTGATCACACAAAAAACACAAATGTATAAAATATTACATTTTCTACAGAAAAAACCCCACTAACAACCAACCAAAAAAACAACAATTGGAATGTTATTAACAAAAAACATGTCCTATCAAGTTTGAGAAATAAAATAAAAATGATCAAAGACCAACAAAAATGTCATCTGTTTTTATTTTTGACAGCGGCTTTTTTTTTGGTATCTCATCCCAGTCAGGGATGATGGTTACATTTTCAGAAAGTCACTGAAGCATTACTCAGGTAGTAATGAAGAGTTCCACCATGGAGGGCCAGTAAATAATCCAGCAACATCTACTGTCGCTGCAGTTAGTGGGGGACAACAGGCTTCTCAACAGTTTCCATGTCTGCCTGGAGCAACACTCAATGTCTTTGTCTGTTTCACCGAAATAAATTAGCCTGTGGTGATTTAAAATGAGTGTTTTCAGAGTGGTTTAACGAGCTAAGGTGAGATGCACTCTGGGAAAAGAGAGAAGCATCTGGACAACCCATGATCCTTTGGGTTCGTGCCATCATAAGCCACAAAGTTGACCGAAGTGGAAGAGAAACTGAACACAGTCGTACTGTATGTGAAGTTTTACTTTTTTCTTTGATCTTCTCAGTTCGTTTTTTATTGATCTGGTTTTTTCCCTTTGAGTTCAGACTTTGCACAGGGCTGATGCAATGACCGTTTGAAGCTTGTGGTTATTAGGAAGTGCAGGGACACACATTGACCACAGGACGCTGAAGTGGAGTAGAGAGACACAGCATGAAGAAAACGAAAAGAGAAAAGAGGAGGTTTTAACAGAGATGTTCATCAAAATAAGAGAGAAAAGCAGTGTTCACAGAAACATCCTGAGGGAGATGAAAGCTCAGACAAGGGATTGCCTCACCACACCTAAACCTTGCATCAAGGCCCTGTATTTCAAAACGAACAGAGAATTAACATAAAAAGAACTTCAGCCTTTGCAACTTGAAATCTGAATGTGACATCCTGTTGCTGAGTCTGCGTAAAGCAGACTCAAAACCTGACAGGTAGTGTTTTAAGTAAATCCTAACACAGTATTCAAAGTTGCTGAACAAGGATCTACAAAAAAAGGCTTGGCCTTAGCCTTGACTAGTTTCCTATCGGGGGGTGGGAGAGGCGAAAGGAAGGTGAGGTTAGGGAAGACAATAATGTGTTTGTGTGTGTGTGTATTATAGAGAGTATATGGGGGGAGGAGAGAGTGTGTGAGAGAGAAGGCCATTGTTGTTATTACGATCCCCCGGGGCGTGGAGGGCCGGGCTGAGCATGGTGGGGAGGGGGGACAGATAGAGAGAGTGTGGGAGATTTACAGTCAGAGAGAACAGGCCTCGCTTATGGAGAGTAGAGCTGATTAACTAAACACCTCGACACACACAAACAGGCATCAATCAGCCTGCCTTGCTTCCTTTCTGAACCTTTACCATATTTCTGTTCTGCTAGCTGTCCTAAGAACATTACTGTGTCTCAATTCGGAAACGTTCCTTAGTCCGCTGCATGTTGTGCACTGTGAACACTGTGAATTTCTACCCTGTAGTGTTGTCTTAAATCACAAACAGCTGCTGTACCCTCCAGGAAGTTGCAAACATCACTGTTAGCTAGCTAGCTTCTCAATGTAATCGTTTGCTGTAGCAAACCATTAGAGACTAATTCACCCAATAAAATTAACGGGGGCTAATTTTTGACGCTACTATAGTATTACCTTTATTAAATACTGAAAAAAACTAAGGTATAACTTTTACTTAACAAAACCTTTATCTGCTTTCTTGATTCCAGCAACCACTGCTGGTAGCCGACTTCTGCTACGTATCCAACCTTTGCTAACATGACGATTGTTGAGTGTGAGAAGTGTCCAGTGTTCTACACACAAGTTTTTGACGGTTTAAAGTGCCAAACCATGCAAAAGGACGCACTCGTGCACTTAAAAAGCACATCTAAGTACAGAAGTGCCCAAATTGAAACACAACAAATGAATCCCTGTCAGTGTCCTGCCAAAAAGGAGCTCTCAAACTGGCAAAAGAATATGGTTTAAAGTAAAGAAACGCTAGTACAATTAACGTTTTCAACTTTAACGTGGTTAACTGCATGTGGGCTTGCTGTGTGGAGGTCACAAAGGAGAACTGATAATAACAACTCCACACAAAGCGTTGCCTCTAATACAATGAGTCGACATTTTCTGAGCCTGTCCAGACATGGGGCGGTCTAAGCATTGATGTGCCTGTAGGAAGAGCAGGACAGGGGAGGAGAAAGCAGATGGGGTTAGGGGGGCTTTTAACACTGATTAGCTACGCCCGCCAATCCCCCTCCCCCTCCAACCCTGATGGAGAGGAGGTGAGCGATGGACACAGGACACCGTTTCCTGGCAACCGCTATTGACCGGCCACAGATCAATCTGCAGACTTCTGGTGACGGAAGATGATGCTCTTCCTTTTCTTCCACTCAGCGAGTGTCCTGTTAACTTTACCTCCTTCTGAGCGGTGTCCCACCTCAACCTGTCTGCACCTGCAGCTGGAGGTGAAGTAAGAGAACAGCGGTGTTGTGTTTCCGCACCGTCTGTCAACATACAGTCTGACTGGCACTGAAGGAAAGCAGACAAAGCTAAATTGTGAGGCGCAGCTGGAATTGGTAAGCAGGTTTTTAAACTAGCACTGCAACTACTTATTGTCTTTGTTGATTCATCCGTCATTTATTTTCTGGGTATTTCGATTTTCCCCCCACAACTCAAAGTAGAGGAGAACAGAAACTACTTAAGAATCCGATTTAGAAAGCTGGAGTCAAATCATTTAACTTTTTCCTTAATCAGTCAATCAAATATTTTGAGATCAATATAATAATAGTTCCCGATTCACTTAATATTTCCCAAATGTATTAATCTTTTTAGCACTTTTTTAAACATGTGATGGGGTCTCTTCGCAGCTACTAAGCACATACAGCAAAAGACCGTCACCTCCTGTAGGCTAAAGTTTCCTCTTTGGCTAGCACTGCGGTTGAGCTAGCAGGAGAATTTGGGTCACATGAGCGGTTGCCAGTGGGATAGAGCCATCAAAGTCCCCTATCTCCCTCTCTCTCTCTCACCCCTCCTTATTCCTGTGATCCAAGCTGTGAGAGCTCAGGGAGACGAGGTCAGCGTCCCTCCCCCTTTCTCTTGTGTCTCCTCACCCCCCCGTCCACATCTGTAACCTGATCCGGCTGAGACCCGTCTGCTCAGATTGGCAGCTTGGTCCTTAATGCGCCGTCAGATAAGGCTTCCTCCCATTCATATTGAAGCTGCACTCCTCCACTCTCTCTAATCTGAGGCCGGTTTCTAGACTCTTATTGATCAGATTTTTTTAGAACATCGAGTAATGATTAGATTATTCACATTGCTCTTACGCCTTTTTTCTTCAATTAATGTTTCCATGGCTTCGTTGGCATCTTAATTACACTCAAAACACGACTAGTGATAGGCAAGAATAACTGTACAAAAGTGTTTCCATTAGACAGTGAAAAGGCAACTTGATTAGCCAATAAACCGCAAAAACAGAAAATAACCTGCAATTATTTAAGTGGTTCTATTATTGACATGTCATGTGTATGTTGACATCATATCATTATTCACATTTGTATTATTAATACCACATGTATTGCGAAAACCCATCTTGAGTTATATCATCCATCTGAGTGACTTATTTTTGCTTTTGTGTGTCTGTGATTTTTATACACTACAAAATAAATGGCTGCCAGGAATATATTTTTTTTACTTTTATAATGAGTACTTTTATTCTGCCCACATTACACTTCTCGCAAGATGAAAAGGGAGAGGAGAGTGTTTTGTTTCTGGGAGTTCAAGGTTTAGTTTAGGTGTCGCAGGGGTTAACAGCATTTGCACACCTGCTGTTTCTTAATGAACAGGATTAGTCTGTGTTCACATGAGCCAAGCCCACCCTGGTGCTCACAGCTCCAGTGTTTACAATAGATAGACCCCAGGTCATGTGTGAATCTACTTCAATTGAAAAAAACAAAAACATGAGCAGTAAAAAGTCCATTACAGAGTGCACGGTACATTAGCTGCACCCTCAGACCGCTGGGTTACATGTGTGCTGCTACTTCCTGTTCTTGAGTTAAAGGCCAGGGCTTCGTTTGTTTCTCCATGGTGTTATGTCAAAGATGCTACTTCTCCTGTGTTATTTCACACTGAGCTGACTTTTTAAATGGACCATTAGTCTTTCTCCTCTCCTGTGCAAAGAAAATATATTTCTGCTGACAGAAAGGAAGCTCTCTGAGAATTAGCCTCATAAATGATGGTTAAAGGAAGAGATAAAGTCTGAGGCCTTTCAGCCAAAGAGGACTTTAAATGCTCTCCAAATAAGGAAACAAAAGAAGGCAGACCTATTGTGCTATAGATGAAGACTGAAAACAAGGCAGTGGTGCTCTGAATGTAAAGGATAAGGATACTGTTGATTCCACTTAGGCCATATTTTCGAAGCCACAATTTCTATTTGCTAACAAAAAATGTCTTTACAAATAAGTGTATTTCCCACAATATTTCACTTTTTCTTTAAATAGACCCCATGTTAGAGGGATTGTTTTAACCACTGTATTGGACTGAAATGACAAACTGTACCGCAGAAACAGGCGAAGACATAGAGAAGAAGACGGTGAGAAGGGGAAGACAATCTACTGAACCCTTCCATAGTGATCCGTTTTTCTTTACTAACCCTTTGGATTTTCTTTGTGCCGACTGTGATAGCATTAGCAGATATGAAGGTATCGGCGAGGACAAAGACCCTGCCAAGATTAGACGAGGGGGGGAAGGCGGAGAATTGAACAGCCTTCCTGGTTTCGAAATAATAATAATTATATCAAAATGTCACACAAAATGAACAGAAATAAAAAAAAACAATGTGCAAACTTCTCTCATATAAATAGACTACAGTCGACGCATTGTAGAGCACCATGGGAGACAGGAGGAGGTTAGGATGGTTTGTTTGTGTATAAGTAAAACATAATTAATGCTTGCTTCTAGTGTTTGTGTACAGTATTGGATCTACTACCACAGGTTCTAAGAGTTGCCAGAGACGGATGGGTCGGTGGAAAGAGGCTTGGATTAGAGGAGCGCAGTGTCTAAGGTTCCAATGTAAGTTCAAAGTTCAGTTTCTGCTCTTGTTCAGGGTCAGACCCAGTCCTGCAGCGAGCGCTTGCAGTGCACCAGCAGCCGTGGAGCCCCTTTGCTCTGCAGCGTGTTGATGATGGCGTAGACGAGTCCCAGGATGCACAGCACCAGGGCCAGAGGGATGGTCACCATCAGGATGTTCATGGTCCGCTCCTCGCTGTCGTCCACCTTTAGCACCACGTCCACCTCATTGGTGTCTTCCTCGCGGCCCTCCCGGTAGTCCTCGTCTTTATCGCCGTCCGACCCTTTGCCCACGTCGTTGTCCGTCCCGTCACGATCCCCGTCTTTGCCCATGTCTCCGTCGCGTCCGGTTGCGTCGGGGTTGAAAGGGGGCCGGTTCACGTCGGGGTATTTGCGCCCCACGTCTGCGTCCGTGTCTCGGTCTGGGTCCTGGTCCGCACTGCAGCCCATGAAGTCTCTCAAGATGGACTTGGGGTAGCCCGGCTCGCTCTTCATGCGGTGGTTGTCAAACTTCCAGTACTTGGAACCCTTGTAGAAGAAGGTGTACGCTGGAGAAAGCAAGGAGAGCACAATATGTCAAATAACATGAAGATTTTAAGAAGGACAAATGAAAGGAATAGTTTCAAAATGTTCCAACTCTTGCCAAGAGTTAGATGGCACGACTGATACCACTCTTATCTGTCTGTTCAATAGAGTGGTGCAGTGATTTAGATTTTCACTAGGGCTCCCGCGACAAAAAGCTATGGGATTTTCCATTGGATTTTGCAATAAATAAGATCTGTGGCAGACACACAGTGGCAGTTTATGATGCTCACATGTTTTGTTCAGCAGAATAACCCCCACATAATAACACCACTTTTATGATTATTGAAGCGTAAATGCAATCACCAGAAGTAATAAACCAAAGTTAGGCTGTAAACAAACTACATCACGTCGCATGGCTTCACATTAGCATGGCTAGGCTAAAGGCTGACTCGTGTCTGGGTTATGACGTTAAGTTTTCTTATTCAGTTACTAGTTAGCATCCTCCGTTATAAAGACACATAGAAGCTTCTAACATTTTTGAATAGGGTATTAACTGACGTATTTTGTGTCATAGACCAAAACGTTAAAATCTCTTTGGCTTGCGTTAACCAAAAACCCTAATTCAGGCATATAACCAAAGGCACTTTCAAAACAATTTTGACTCCGAGACGAGGGAACCCGAAATGGTAAAATGCTAACTCGTCTCCAGGTTTTAGAACTCATTCTCTACAAAGCTAGAGCCATCAGCAGGGAATATTAGCTTAGCATAAAGGCCAGACAGCTGGGAGGCTAGGGCGACACAGCAATCATTTTCCCTGCAAACAACTTCTCTAAATAAATCGTTTTTAAACCTTTTTTTTTTTTACATATTTAGCATATAGATGTTGCCTTGAGACTGAGCAAGGCAAGCTGTTTCCAGTTTTTAGGCTAAGCTACGCTAACCAAGTCACTGCTGGCCATAGCTTCATATTTGCGGTAGTGTTGATATGAAAGTGGCCTCAACCACCTCATTTATATCTCGGCAAGAAAGCCAATAAATGTAATTCCAAAAACTTGTCCTTTCATAACCTAAAAAAATCGCAAACTTGTTTACTTTCAAATAATTGGCTGTATATTTAAACATGTCTACTGAGTGTATCTCTTTTCACGTGCATATACGATTTTGCACTGCAATCCATTACTTTTGCTGTTATTATAAAACCCTATAAAGTGCATTGAAATGCCCAATAAATAAAAAAAAGGTGCTATACAAATAAAGTTGTCTTGCTTTGTCGACTCTCTGCCGTAGATCGAACCACTCCTCTCTATTTTCACTGTAACCAAGCACAGCAAAGCACAAAGCACTTCACATGTATGTGCTCAAATTCACACACACACTCCATCCCCTTTCTCTCCTGATGATTGTGTGACCACACCCTGATTCTTTGTTCCATGCATCAGTGTGCCCCAGCCCTTTCTGGCTTTTTCACACACACACACACACACACACACACACACACACACACACACACACACACACACACACACACACACTCAAACACACATTCACATTCGATACAACCACTCTTCTTGAGTGAGCTCACCTCCATCATCGCTGAGGAAGGCCCCCTTGGGGGAGGAGGGTACTGAGGATCCCCAGACACTGATTGATTTCGGGTATCCTTGGTCCGTGTGGCGGGACTGCTCGTTGAAGCGCCAGTACCTGCAGACAGCAGTCAGAACCAGTTGTTACTGTAACTGTCTAAACAAGTAAAGAGCAGAATTCTTACAAAGTGCAGTGCATGGTGTGTGTATAATAACTGTCCTTACTGGTAATGCACTAGTGAAACTGCAAAAAGACAGTGAGTAAGGTCTCTTTCAAAATACAGACCTTAAGTGTAACTATGTTTCTACTTAAATCAAGGTTCAAGGTTCAAGGTTCTTTATTTTGTCCTACGAACATAGCTACAGTGTAGTTATGCCGATGAAAATCTTAGGTCACAGGCTTCTCCAACAGTGCAACACAATAACACAGATACACAGAAAAATATAGTGCATAGTAAATAGTAAATACAAAAAGAAAAATAGTTTAAATAGTGAAATAGTATAGTATATATAGTATAGTATAATACTATATGCAAGCTATTGGAATGATATATATTAGAGAAATAGATAAATAATTACTAAGCAGCAGATG